ACATATGACATATGATTCTGTGTGTTTTCCTTCTTGCCTGCAGACTAACAGTTCACAGGTTGGGTGCTCAGACTCTCATTCGCTCCCTGGAGATGGAGGAGAGAGAGCACAGAGGACAGCAAGATGGAGGAGTGAAGGAGAAGGTGGTGCAGCTCAGTGTCGAATCAGGAGTGAGCAGTTCGTTCACTGCCTTCATTGCTGTCAACAAAGACAACAGTGAAGTGATTCAGGGACCTCTTGTGCGCAGAAATATTGCAACAGCCCGTGAGTTGTTTTTTTTGTTTGTTTTTTTAACTAAAATACTCAAACACAGTTTGAAGATGAAGAAAGCTGAACTTGAATGAAAAGAGTACAATGATAACTAGAAGAGCAGACTATCAGAGTCAGTTAACAGGATCCAGACGTTGTACAGATTTTTTTTTAAAAAGGTTGGTTAAAGCAAAATGAGATTCAGTAGCAAAAATATGGTACAGTTATTCAAGATATTGACAGGAGAAAAAAACAGTGTATTTTAAACAGTGTTTTTGTATTGTGTTATATTTGCATATCAGCCTATGAATGTTAAAAAGTAAGACATTAAATCTCTGGACCTTTTAAAAAAAAATCATTTTACATCTGTGCATTTCAAAAAATATATATATATATCCAAAAAAACATTTCTGTTTTTAACTTTTTTTGAAATGGTAAATATACAATACTGTATGCAAATAGCTTTGATAACCTTTGTAATGGGCTGTGTCCCAAAGTGAAGACTTACCTGATAACCTCAGTCTGTTTAAGGTTGATTTATACATTTTAAAGATCGACAGTGTTTTGTTTTTCTTTTTCTCTAATAATATTCAGGCTGATATTTTTTTTCTTTTATTTTTTTGCATAGTGTTTCTTTTGGCTCCAATTGGTTGTGGTGAGTAAAAGCTGAGCAAAAACATGCATCTACACAAATATGCATTTCTGAAAAATAAAAAGACCAACACATATTTTTATTTGAATTCATTTGAATACTGTATGCAAATAGCTGCAGTATTTGCTGTGACAGCCTTTGTAATGCGCTGTGTCCCAAAGTGAAGTCTTCACCTGATAACCTCAACCTGTTTAAGGTTGATTTATACATTTTAAAGATGGACGGTGTGGTAATGCCAGGTTTTATTTCTCTCTTATATGTTCACCCTCAACCTGAGTTTTTTTTTATCATAGCGGTCAGGGCTACTCCATCCACGATTAGTAAGTAGAAGCTGAGTGACAACACACATCTACACACATGTGCATTTCTAAAATAAAAACAAAGAAACCAACATATTTGTATTTGAAATGTTAA